GTCACAATTACAGTATTCATTCAGTGACCTCTTCCCAGTTACACTCAGTATAAGAAGTACTCACAGGGTATATAATGCATATATCACACAGTAATATTATGACAAATCTGTGGCCAGCTAGAAATCCATCAGCTCGTTTCACACACAGCCTCATTCAACAGCACAGTGGCATCAGGAATAGACTTCAGAGTCTCCTGCTTCAAATGCACTGTCCCTAATTATGTGAACAAAAAGGTAATCTCCCTTTTCTATTCACAGTAGGGGGTTTATCACTAAGGTTGCCAGGTGTCCAGTTTTGAACCAGACAGTCCAGTATTTGAGCTTTCTGTTCAGGAAACAAATTGAGAAAATATAAATGAGAAAATACAAATGTCCGGTATTTTCTAAATAAAATGTCATGTAGATTGTGATATAATGTCAAGTGTGTCCAGTATTTTTGTTGAAATATTTATGACACGGATTTAGAAATGTAAGTTCCTGTCCTGTAGAGAACAGTGGTATAGAGACAAATACAAGCTTTGAAAGATACCTTACTGGCAGGGTGCATTCAAATAATTTATAGGGGGCAAATCTTGCTTGCCTTATTCTAAGACCCCACAGGCTTTTCTAGGATATTGTTTGCACAAGTAAGGTAAGATGGATTTGACTGGAAGTTTATAATTTGGTTTGAGCTGAGAAGACTCAGGCCCCCTGAATTTTACTTTAAGATGAAGCCACTTCCAAGCAAAGCTGAAAACCCATACAGAATTCTGCTGAAATCACTAAATATTATCTGGTTTTGAGTCACTATCCATGTGTCTCTTGTGTCCTTTGAAGAGAAACTGTAAATCCCTGCTTAGAACTCATACGAAGGGAAAAGGGGACCTTTGAAAATTGAGCCAAATTAGTTCCCAAGCTACCAATTTTTCTAGAAAAGTTTTAAGAATTTCAGTGATGAACTGGGCCCAGTGCCAGCTTTTTAAAGAACCTTAAAAAGTTCCCCTGGGAGAGAACACTGCACCTCTGTTTGAAAATTGGCTAAATATGCCCTTTTCAGCTAGTAATTTTCATCTGGTAACATTGATCCACTCTAGGGTTGCCAAGTGTCTGGTATTGAACTGGACAGTCCGGTATTTTTGCCTCCTCTACAGTAAAAAAATTCAGAAAATACCGGACACCTAAAATGTCCGGTATTTTCTGATTTTTTCCCAGCCAGCAGGCGAAAATCCTGGGTGCTTACTGGGTTCCACAGCTGTCTGGCCTGGCGCAGGGAGGCAAGATGGTGAGTGGCACCTCAAAAGCTTTTCTTTAAGGGACCACACTAGTTTTTTTACTTAACAATTTTGATCCCCCCCTTTTTATTTTCTCAACAGAATTTTTTCCCTGGTGTTTTTTTTTGGTGTGTGTGCGTGTGTACACTACCCCCCTAGTTCGAACTAGGGGGGGTAATGTAGTCATACGGAGTTGCAAATGAAGCCTGGGATTTGAATTTCCCGGGCTTCATTTGCATAAAGCCGGCCGGCGCCATTTTTAAATGCCGGCTAGTTCGGACCCCGTGCCGCGTGTAGCAACTCCGTATGGCTATATTACCCCCCCCTAGTTCGAACTAGGGGGGTAGTGTAGACATACCGTGTGTGTCTGTGTGTGTATGTGTGTGTGTGGTATTTTTGGTTAAACCATCTGAGAACCCTAATCCCAGCACATCCCAGAACTGATTTTTCTCTTGCTTACCAGCTCAGGAGTGGCACCAAGGAAGCAAATGGAGCTATGAAAACTTGAGAGGAAACTCTGACCCAGTCTTTTGAAAGGAGCCTGCCATTAACAGCTCTTTGCACATCTCTCAGTAGTGCTAGCTCAGCTATGCCAGCAGACATGCTCACTATGCAGTAGAAAGAGCACAAATATGACATTGACGATTGTGCTTTTTTTTTTTGCAAACAGAAACAAATGTGAATGCAAGTCTGCAGATGCCTGTCTATGTGTGTACAACCTTATTTGCCCGCTGTCCTACAAGTGTTGTGAATACCTACCAATAAGGAATTTGCAATGAATAAATAAGTTGTTGTCGCCAATAATATTTGCCATTGATAAAAATAAAGATGATCTAAAATACTAATGTGGTTAGCAGCTTACACGCATGAAGCCAGCCAATTTCCTCAAGCAGCTAAAATAAACTATTAAGTGTTAAATAAGTGGATTTCAGCACTGCCAGAGCCATTTTACAAGATTTGGGTGCCAATTTAATTATTCACAAGCACTGTTCCCTCTAATTTTTTCCCACTCATGTGCAGAATAAATTTTATTATATGCACCATGACATGTGCAGATATGTACCACCAGTAGAAACACACTGTGGGACCCTGTGGGCACTCTGCTCATCAGCTGGGCGGCATTTGAATCTCTCCTGGGGGGCTGCCCAAGCGCTCAGCTCACAGGAAACACTGTTCACAAGACTTTCAGTAGGGACACAGCCAATCCAGTAACTGTCCCAGGTGAGCAGTGTCTCCTAAGTCCCCAATGCATCATGTCCCCTTACGAGGTGGAATTGATCATGCATTTTATTTTTGCTTGGTTTCTTATTCTGCCCTGCCGCCTGTTCTCTCTCCATAGCCAGAGGCTCTCTGCGGAGCAAGAACAGTCAACATGGATTGTATGGACTCTATGGATTCCCTTACAAATAGCCAGCATGAACATTCCTACCATAAGAACTGGTGCACAACAGGATTGTTTTGTTTCATTTTTTTTATTATCTTAGGCCTAGTCTACAGTAGACTGTTAGGTCAGCGTAACTCTGGCGAATGACCTTAGTCCATCCCATGCTTTTCAGCAAACTGGGCTCGTCCCTCATCCTCCAGGCTTGCTTATCAGCTGCCATGTGACCCATGTCCTCCTATTTCAAATGAAATCTTCCTGTGTCATTGATAATCATATGCTTCCAAGTCATCCTCTACCCCTCTTCAATTACAGCGAATGGGGGTGTGAAAAATCAACACCATGAGCAGCCTGGTTGCACCAACCTAAGTCCCTGTGTAGACAGAGCTAGGGTCAATGGAAGAATTCTGCTGTTGAGCTACCAACCACCTGTTGGGGAGGTGGATTAGCTATGCTGACAGGAGAATCCTTCCAGGCTGGGGTGGGGAACATTATTTGGGTTGGGGGCCGCTGACCCATAGAAAAATCAGGTCAGGGGCCACACAAAAAAGAAGCCAAAATATAAAAAATCCTGAATGACTCCTCACATTCCCCTCTCACACCAGAGCCTAGGGGGGGCCTGGCTAGATTTTGTGTCCCCCACACTCTTAGATGGGTCAAAATGAGGAGTTCAGTGTGTGGGAGGGGGCTGCCAGGAAGCGGGCTTGGGGTGTGGGGTCTGGGCGGGAGGGTGCAGTAGTGGGTTGGTGGGTCTGGGAGGGTGCAGGAGTGGGAGGCCCGGGTGGGATGTAGGGTGGAGGAGTGGAGAGGGGTAGCAGGAGGGCTGGAGAGCCAGCTCCCCAATGCTCGGTGGGGGAGCCCAGAGCCTCAGGAGCCAGAACCAGGCAAGCTGGGGGCTGGATCCAGCCCCTGGGCCATAGGTTCCCCACCCCTGACTGAAGTGCTACATTGACTCAGACAGTGCTGCTGTAGCCTTTCAAATGTAGACAAGCCCTTCTTGCCGAGGGTCTGATCCGGTGGCTCGGTCATTGGGAATCACTGACTTTAATGGATCCAGATTTAAGACCTGAGAGCAAGGCCCCTAGAAGGGCCTAGGAAAGTGCTGGGCCTCTGGTCCAATGGCTTTCACTATAGATAGGGAGTGCCTGCTGCCACCTCCAGCCCCCTGATGGCTTTTGGAGGGAGCAATTACTGGGTCTCCTTGAATGACTCTGAGATCGTGAAAACGTGTTTTACTACTTACTTGTACTGTAGATATAAACAGCCAGACTCATAACACAGAAACAAGCAATGGCAGTTATCCCAGACCTATTAGCTGTGTCTGAGCAGCAAGTACTAGAGGCTTCCTTGAGCCACTGGAATTTATATGACCATTAACGGGGGTTGTAAATTGCTGCCAGTCTGGATAACTCAATCCATGGGGTTTTTTGGAAGGGAAGGGGGGAATGGAGAAAGAGAGGGAGGTTCCCCATACTGCTTAAAAATCACGACAGGAGGGGCTATACAACAGCGTTAAGGCTCTGTTGTCTATTGGCACGTAACAGATAATAAAAACCAAGTTTTAATTGAACAAATAGGGATAACATGTCAAAATAAAATGACTTAACAGATGCCTCAGGGACAAGCAGGGAAAATAAAAAAGTCACTGCCCATGCACTGAGGATCAGCTACACATAATAAAGATATATTAATGGTATATTTCTTGAGAGAAATTCTAATACTTCGGGGGGAGGTTCTGAGAAATCAGAGTTTAAAATATGAAAAGCAAGAATGTTACGATGGAAGGAAAAAGGTGATGAGGATTAAGGTGACATGGAAAAAAGTGCAAAAAAAGGGGGTTATTCGGCCCCTTGATAGCAGAGGAAGAGGAGGGGGTCCCTTTGTGTGGGAACTTGGATGGTTTGAAACGAACCTGCAATGTGAACTTTCACGGTATTCTCTTCTGCATGCACTGAGAAGCCTGTGGGATTTTTTGAATGGGAACAGACTCTAGCCCCATCATGAAGTTGCTAGAGAGGGATAAAAAAAATAAAAAAAATTAAGTTTCATTGCAAAACAACAGTGAAGCAAAGTGACTTAGGCAGATGCACTCATATGTCAAAAGGCAAAAATAAAATAAATGAGGGAAATAATGTGGAGCAGTCAAATATAAACGTGAAAGGAAAAGGCAGTTACTCTGGGGAGCGAGTCAGTGTGGGGTAGATTCCCTTGTGATTCTCTGCTTGGAATGTGGATTCTTTGGAGATAAATGGCACAAGATATTGTAATATCTAACCTGAGAATCAAATCTAACAGGAGCTGCTGCCAATAGAAAGGCTCAGAACTACTATCTGATGCTTACTAGATGATCCTTTCCTTTGTTTCTATAAATCCTCATGCATTCCCTTCCCTAATGAAGTCAATGGGAATTTGACTTGTGTTAGGAGGGTAGATTCTGACATTATAAGAAACACCCTGCAGAACTGGAGTACATGTTAGCAAAGCATCTTTGCAGCATTAAGGGTACGTCTAAACTACATGGCTCCATCGACGGAGCCATGTAGATTAGTTTACACGAAAAAGGGAAATGAAGCTGCGATTTAAATAATCGCAGCTTCATTTAAATCAAAATGGCTGCTGCGCTGTGCCGATCAGCTGATTGTCGGCACAGCACGGCAGTCTAGACGGGGATCTGCCGACCCCAGAACCCTTCATCGGCAGATCCTTTATGCCTTACAGGATCCGCCAACAAAGGATTCTGGGGTTGGCAGATCCCCATCTAGACTACCGCGCTGAGCTGACAATCAGCTGATCGGCACAGCGCACCAGCCATTTTGATTTAAATGAAGCTGCGATTATTTAAATCGCAGCTTCATTTCCCTTTGCCGTCCTGACTAATCTACATGGCTCTGTTGACAGAGCCATGTAGTTCAGGCACACCCTAACAGTCTTAAGAAATATATCCTAGGGGCAGGTCTACACTAGACCTGGAAGGTTGGGTTAAGGTATGCAATTCCAGCTAAGTAAAATACACAGCTAGAGTTGGCTCACCTTAACTTGAACTTGATGCCATCTTCACTAAGGGAGCAAATGCTCCCATTGGCTTCCCTTACGCCTCATGACTGCCATGAGTACCAGCATCAATTAGGGCCACCCTCAGCGTTTGATTTAGTGGGTCTTATCTAGACCCGCTAAATCAAACACCAGAAGAGCGCTCTCTGGCATGTCAAGTGGAAGTCTGAAAAAAGATTACTAATTTGCAGTGGCCTGGATATTATCCATATGAATGCAGAGTATTGCCTATTATAAATATTAATGATGCATGAATATTAATCTTTGACATCTGAATTCCCTCTCAGGACTCCTGGTGCTCTTCATGGAACACTCCAGCTGGGCTTTGTAGGTCGTATTAGGAAATTCCCCCCTTCCCTGGATTTAAGACCTTGGCTGAGTGCAGGATCAGCAATTAACCTCAGAATAATTTGGCCTTCATGAGCAACATTGTCTAGCGTATTCCTAATATTGGACATTTCCTTTACAGTAAAAATGAAATAGGTTGCCCATTCTGTTGCCTTAATGAGCATAGAATGCTATTGTATCTCAATCACATCTTTTATCTGACTGAGATCTGTCTGCGGATTAAAGTGACATGACTTTTACCAATGCTTTGTAAAGTATTTGTCATGATCATCATACTCAGAGTCTTGTGTGGTCCCTTATATTTTATACTGGTTTCCCAAACATTCATGGTTAAATAAACCACGATAACACTTCATAAACATTTTTCTACCATGCGGAATGTTTGACATGAATTTCAGCTATTTGAAAACTAATAAACAATTGTCAATTGGCCTCTGGATACTAAGCAGAAGCCGCGCTGTTTTTATGGAACATCAAAGGCATAATTAATATCTTCTTTTTAAAAAAAGTCTTTTGTACTTCAGCCTATGCGAGCCTCTGTCAGAGCTGGGGGAACGAGCACTGGGGCAGGGTGCTATTGTCTGCCATGTTCAGGGCTTTGTGAAGCAGGCCATTGAGTGAGAAATATGAGGAGTTATATTCCATATGATCAGACTGCACTTAAGAAATCTCCTGGTACTTTGAAAGATAGTGAACTACAGACTCTTGCCTCTTGCTAGCTGCTAATGCACTTTTCTCACACGCTGCAAGGCCCAGTTCTATTTCCCAGGTCAGGGATGGTGACAGACTTTGCCAGGCCCTGCGCAATGTGGAGGGGGCTCAGCTCTGGGAGCCCGGGAAGAGGCGGAGCATTAGGGAAGGGGGAGGGCATTAGGAGAAGGGGCGGAGCAAGGACCAGACGTGGGGCTCTGGTGGCAATTTAAAGGGCCTGGGGCTCTGGCCGCCGCTGGCCTTTTTAAATCACTGGGCCTCAGGGCATCGGCCTCTTTCCCCGCCTCCTCTATCGGCAACCCTGTCCCAGGCACAGTAGGGTGCACATTGAAGCCAT